CATCCGGCCCGCGAGTGACCAAAGTTTGGCCTGCCAATCGGTTCATTCATCTCTCAAGCCCAAACCCCCGGTTTTCTACTTTGTTGCTGTAAGTTCTTTTAGTTCAGCAGAGACATGTTTGGTGTCTACAGAAACATCAGAATCTCAGCTGGAAGCTGGTAAAAACTATTTCTATGAACACTCAAGACAGTTAAAACTACAAGCAGTTGAAGATAAAAACTTATGAAAGTGAAAATAAAATTAGTTTAAAAATTTGGCAAATCAGAGACGTCAAAATAATATTTGTGTTAAAGGAGGCACAATGTTGATATTTAGTTATCACTACTTTTATAGGATTCTATATGTTATATTCATGATCAAATACAGCAAAATAAACTATTTCAAAGGTAACAGATCTTTGTAATATTTGGTTTATTTACATAATGACTTGACTGCTGGATGTTCGGCCCCTCAGCTGCTGACCTGCAGTTACTGTGGCCCCCCGGAGCAGTTTAGTTGAATATCCCTGGTTTAAACATTTGGGATGTTTACTGTGTTCCATCATGAATAAATGATGGGTTTATGAACTTTGCAAATCATTGCATTTTATTGTTATTTACACAACCTTCAAGTCTTTCAGTGAATTATGGTTGTAGAAACATGTATAAAGAAATAATGCTACGATTCTGTACATAATATATTAAGCTTTACTATGTAGCTGGGTGTCTGGTGAATGTTCATGCATCATTTTTTACCAAAGACATTATACACTTTTTTATTCATCTCTTTTCTTTATTTGCACCTTTAATCATAAACCAAAAATATATAGTTTCCTCCTGTTGTTGATATTAGAGGGGAGTGTGGTTCTAAACAGTGCTATATTTGAAAACAAATGGCAAAAGTGAATCATTGTCATATTTCATACAGCCATTAAAACAACACAGATTACAGAGCAAACAAATGAAAATACAGGTGAAAAATTTTTCTACTCWGAAAATCAGAGGATTTATTTGAAATGAGCTGAGTGAAATCAAAATGTCCTTTATTAGATCTTTTGTTTTAAAAAAAAGTGTTTTCTAGTATTTGTTCTTGTTGGTATAATAATTAAAAAGGTTCAGATGTATATTAATGTTTTATATTAACATTTACGTTGGAGTGAAAAACCATTTGTTTATTCACATAAGCTTTTTATTTTTTTGTTAATATGTCAAAACAAGGTGAGCATGATGTTTTCTCCCTTTTGTGAAGAAAAAAATCATAAAAAGTTTTGTTAATTTCAAATAAGCTTTAATTTTGGGTGTAAAATATTTAGTTTTATTAGTTTGTCTTGTTTTTTTTTTGTGTTCTTTATAACTTGGAGTTCAAATCAAGATAAATAAAAAAACTGTTTTTGGAAGCAGCTGACAGTCATAAATATAAACAAGTGTCAATTATATATTAAATGTATTTACAAGTCAAATTGATCTGATTTGTGTTTTTTGTTTTTCAGTTTAAAATTTGTGATTTTTAAACGTTTCAACGCAAACTTCATATTAAATTTCCTGTTGCAAAAAGCAACAATAACCCAAACATGTTTATAACCTGCAGTTCAGTTCAAATATTTTTTTCATCTAACTGAGTCAAAATAACTTTTTAGGCTAAAGTAATTTGAATCTAGTTATTTTAATAAGTTGTGTTACATTAATGGGCTACAACATGCAAAAATAAAATAAAAATAACACGGGCAATGCTTTAATTTTCAGGGCCTTTGTTCCTAAGCAGCAGTTCAGAAAACCTCAAAAACATTTTTTTTTTTGTTTTAGAGAAAATAGATAAACTGCTACAACTGAAAGGCTTTTTTTTAACCAGTTTCCTAAATTACACCTCAAATGTTTCATTTTAGGTACTCAAAAATACATATTTTAATCGTTTTTAGAACAGCACAAGAAAAACAGTCATATTGTGATAAAAATATAATGAAATTACTCCTTTAACTCAAGTCTTTTCCTGGTACTTTACTTTAGAAGAGCTTCATAAACAGGCTGAAAATCCCTTTCTTTAATTTGATTCTTCTTTTTTGGGGGGTGTTCTTTGAGAATGAGAGCAAAACTCGTGTTGTTTTCCAGAGATCAGCGAGCGCTCAGCTCTGCAAACTTGAACGTAATAAAGTCGAGGGAAAGGAACAAACTGGGCTAATCGTTTGTTTAGCTTAGACGCTGCGCCACCCACTAATCTCTGCAGCGGGGGCAAACAACGAAAGCACAATCGTATAATAATTACCATCTTGTAATGTCACTTTTGATTTCAAACAGCTGGTGCAACGGGCCTGTTTTTGACTGCTCAGCCAAGTAAAGAAAATCAATTTTGACAACAGACTTGAGAGGGATTTGTTTGGTCTTTGTATTATTTAATGTCATTAATATAATATTGCTTTGAAATTTGAAAGTTTCACATTTTTCTTTTTTTCCCAACGACAAACCGCACTCTGTCCACCAAGGAAAAAGCTGGTACAGTTTGTTTTTCTACCCCTCTACATTTTATTACCCTTTAACAATTCTGTGCCTCTCTCCTCAGTAGACCTGAATCAATAGAAATGCTCATTAATGGACTGTTTTATTACAGGTCTTACAGTTCCTGCATGACAACATCAGTAAGTCACATGAAGGCCGGGAAATAGACTTGGCTTTTCTGATTGACCTTTCTTGAAACAGGAGTGATATACGGGTCCTGTTYGGTCGGTGACCTGGCACCACGAGTTACCTTTTGGCGGTGAGAGTGGATTCATCTCCGGAGCCGTGGAGGAGACACAGGAGTCAGATTGAAATGTCAGAGCAGCACGTCGCTCGAGCTTACTGTTTTTATTTTATTTTATTTTTTTTCTTTTGTCTTCTGCTTTTGCGTACTAACTAGACACACGCAAACACACTCGCATCGGCCGCTCCCCGCCAACTCACAGCTTGGTATCCGGAAACTTGAACGCCGGGGCGAGCTACACAAGGAGAATACGAATGTTAAAATAATTTTTAAAAAAATAAAATAAATTCCCTGTACATGCACAGCCATAACATGCCACCAAAAAACTTGCTTTAAATAGCTGCTGTTCATTTTCTTTTTTCTTTTTTTTTTCAATATATTATGCATCCAAACTAGAGCAGGTGGTCCTGGTGACACACAAAATGGAGGAACATGTGTGACAAAATGTGAGGACGATGGTGGAATGGAGGGATGAGGATGAATCGTGGAATTAGCGCGTAAACAGAGAGGAAACAGAAAAAAAAGGGGGGGTTGGGGCAGATGGGTGAGAGGAGACGAGACGCTGCCACGGTACATACAGAGGCTGCTCAGGCCGAATGCATCAGAGGGGACAAAAGACACGCACACAAAAGAAAATAACACTGCCAACATGCATCATCAAGTGGAAGCTAACAGAGAACGGAGTGGCGATGACACAGCCACGCACAGCAGCGACATCTAAACAGTCTCCAGACATGGGGGGGGGTCTTTGGAAAGCAGCTTAGGCCCCCTCGCACACAAACAAAGGACGGCATCCAGGACAGTCCAAACCTCCACCAGGACAAACAGATAAAAAAAGCAACACAACACACACAGCAGGTAGTGCACGAGAGAGAGAACCCAGATGTGTATGTGTCGACTCCACAACAAGCATCTCTGTATCACAGTGCAGGAGGAAAATACTTCATAATATATATAAAAAATTATAATAATCTGTTCACAACAACATGACACACAAAAAAAAAACAATTTAAATTTGGCTCTTTCACTGAGGAGGAGTTTCTCGTTCTTTCTCCTGTGTCGTACTTTGTGTGGACTGTGCCTAAATCTAAGTTGGTGCGGAAACAGACGCCGATGTCATCATGCTACGTAGGGAAGTGTGCACCAAATTGTGCCAGGGGGCTCATTATTACAAGTAAGAGAAATAACGCGGAAGTGTAGATTACAAAAGTAAGTAAAACGTAAAACTACTGCGTCTATACGCCTGTTTTTTGTTCTTTTTTTTTCTTCCCCGTGTCGTTTTGCTTCCGGTTATAGTAAAGTCGGATTACCTACGATCAGCTCGGAATCGTTCTGTCGCGAAGTGTTTCAGTTTCGCCCCCTTCTATCAAAAAGTATCACAAAAAAGCTAAAATATTCCGTTTGCACTTTAGGAAAACAAGGTTTTAAAAGGGATAGTGCTATTTTTTTCTTTTCTTTTTTTTTAACACAGTGCTTTTTGTTTGTTTTTAACGGACAAAAAAGAAGATTTGCAGGCTCTTGGTGCTACCATTGAYGCTGACAGGCACTGGGCAGTACAAGGCCAGAGCAACCATCATCAAACCAACATCTCTTCAACCACAGTCAGTTCAATACACCCCCAAAAAAAATCTGATTATTTTTTTTTTTGGTTTCCTTTCAGTCTTTTTAAAACAGGTTGGAGGCGTGCAGTTGGTGGGGCAAGTGGGATTTCAGTGGATCRTACAGATAAACGTAATATCGTAAGGCTGTCGTCCTTGATTACGTGTAGGAAAGTGGTCCTCAAGCGAGGCTCCAGTTCTCGGTCTGCTTTGAGTTTTGGACATCAGCGATAGATCTGTGACCGATTCCARTGTGGGTTCACTATAAGTACTGTACAAATGAGTTTTAAAAAAATGTTGTTTTGCTGCACGCTGCTGTTTTTGTCTTTCATTGACTCATAATCCATCTTGCATCCCTTGCCAGCAAAGCAGCCTCCTCATAGTGCCTCACAGTGGTAGATGCCTGGTAAGGCAGGATAGGCTACAAATGGAGAAAGAAAAATAAATAAATCATAACTGTCTTCAAGGAAAAACAAATAAAATTAGGTAAATTAAAAATAYGTCAACACAAATCACAGCTGTACAGATCTTCAGTTTGTCTGATACCAAATGGACCATTTAAAGAAAAAAGGTCAACAATTTAGGCAACAAACGTTCACCTTCTYGCAGAGAACAAATATAATTAATTCACACACTGTATGTGCAGAAAGTATGAAAATATCACCAATAAAATTTAAACTTTTCAGCACATGATCTAAATTTTACAAWTTTTCTTTTATTTTATACAAAACTTCTGTTTTCTTTTTTGTAATTAATTCGCGCAACCATTGTCATTCCACAGACTATATATTTACAAATTACACAAGACGTCATCTCACATAAGTCAAACTAAATAACCAGATTTTGCTTATTTTATTTGTTTCTGTTTCCATTATGCTCACAGCTCTGCATAACCTCAAGACCAAGTTTAATTTCTTCAAAACAAGAATCAAAAACAGCTTTTCGGTTTCTTTTTTGAAAAAATATATTTTGATTATTATCAGACTAAGAGTGGTACATTTAGTCAGCATTTTATTTCTTTATGTTGTTTATTAACTTGTGGCTTACCACAGATTGTTAATTATTTAATCTGCATGCACAAAATTAAAATATGAAATACATATTTATTAGGGGTGCAACAATACATGTATCTGTATCGAACCGTTCAATCCACACTATGTATCAAACTATACAGATGTTTGTAATGTTTTTTACTTGTCTTCTGAAGATGCTCTGTGTTGAAGGATCAGTGGATCTGTGTTCGACTACTCCACCTAGGCTGCATTTATGA